TCATTCCACATAAAGACACAAAATCACCTTTTCTAGTGAAGAAAGAGGTCAGAGCTATCTGTTATTTGATTAAGTGTGTGAAAGGTCATGCTTAGAAAAAATGAAGGATTTCATTATCATATGAATCACTTTCACACTGTAAAAGGACTATGTCTTCAAGTAGGTCTCAAAGTTGCCTTTCTTTTTAATTTCTTCCTTCTTTGATGTTTGTCCTTGATTAAAGAACAGGACAAATTAAGCCTTGATTTTCTGCTATAACTTACCCCACACACCAAAAGAGCTATGAGAGAACAAAAGGTATAAATAAGGCAACTCTCCCCACAGCTGATGCTTACCATAGTAAGTGAGCCGCCCTCTTGCCACATTTTTTCCTCTTGAGTTTTCAGCAATGCACTCATAGGATCCTGTATCTTCCTGTTGGAAGTTTGGGATTTCGAGCACACCATTGAACTTCCTCAATTTAATTTTGTTGGGAAATGGCATCCCATCACTTCTTCTCCAATTAATCTGAGGAACAGGGCTGATAAGAAAACTGTCAAGTCATTTGTTGTTCTCTGGAAATCTTAGAGACTCAAAAACAGAAAGCTTTGGTTAAGGGAGTCAAAGATACAGGTTTCAAAGGAAGAACACTTCCAGCTGTGAAGTATACAAGCATGGGCAAAGACTTAATTCTTGTTTTGAAATAGGGTCTCACTATGTAGCCCAGACTTACTGTTCATTCCTGATCCTTCTGTTATGATTCCTGAGTGATGGTAACAGGAATGTGCTACCACTCCCAGGTTTATATCTTTGAGATGATATTTTAATACCATAAACTGTTCATCTTTGCCAGTCAACTCATGCTTTAAGTATAGAAAATATGACAAATGAACAAGAAAAGTCATTTTTTTCTGACTTAGTTTATGGAGTTAATAAGACATTTTCAATTCCTCCAATATTTTTTAAAGCTTCAAAATATATTATATGTGTATATGTTCCTGAATTCAATTATTCTTTGCTTCTAAATAAACTTTAGAAAACATACAAAATCAAACAAAGATTAAGTTCATTGAAAAAAGAAACAATGCAATATTGACAATCCTTAGTTAAATTTATAAAATGGAAGAGAGAAAAACAAAGAGAAGAGAGAAGACAAAATTAGACAAAAGGTGCTGTTGTCACAACAAATTCCTGTGAAATCCAGACCATTAGTAATAAACACTTTGACAAATTATACTTCAAAAAGTTAGAAAACTTAAAAATAATGGATGAATTTGCAAATGTGCATGATCTACCAAAATTAAAGCCAGAAAACATTATGAATAATTTAGACATATAATTACAAACAATGAGATCGAAGCTATAATCTGAAGTCTCTGCATAAAGCAAACCCAGGACCAGATAGAATCAATGCTGAATTCTCTCAAATTTTTAAGGAATTTCTCATCCTGACATTGCTCAAGCATTTTGACAAAGAAGAAATGGGAATGGACACTACCAGGTTCATCCTATGAAGCCAGTGTTATCCAGATACCAAAGGTAGATAAAGACACACACACAAAATTAAATAAATAAAGAAAACTACAGACCAACGCCCCAGACTAACATATGAATAAAGAAATTCTTAACAAAGAACTTGCAAACTGAATTCAGGAACACATAAGAAGATTCTACATCATGGTTAAATGGGCTTCATTTCTGAGAAGAAAGTTGGTTCAATACGAAACTAAGTAAATTTAGCAAACCTTATGAATAAATATAAGGACAGAAATCCCATAATCACCTTGATAGTTGCCAAAAAGGCATCTCACAAAGTTCAGCATTCCATCATGATGAAAGTCATGGATATTTTAGGAAAACATGTATCATACCTTAGAATAATAAAAGGTTCACATTAAATGAACCCATAGTCAACACTACACCAAACTGGAAGAAACTGAGATCAATTTATTCAAAATGTGGCTTCAGATAAGGATGCCAGTGGTAATTTGAAAGAAAATGGCCCCCAAAGAGAGTGGCACTATTAGGAAGTGTGGCCTTGGTTTAGGAAGTTATGTCACCGTGAGGGCAGACTTTGAAGTCTCTTTTGTTCAAGCTTCCCTCAGTGTGACTGCTAGTGGACTTCCGGCTGCCTATGGTCAAGATGTAGTACTCTAAGTTCTGTCTGTTATGTTCCCAATCATGATTATAATGGACTGAACCTCTGAAACTGTAAGTGAGAATCCCCAATATTGCCAATTAAATGTATTTATCTATCTATTTATCTATTTATTTGTTTGTTCAGATTTTTATTTTATTAACATTTTTTCATTTATTTTACATACTGACCAGTTTCTGCCCCTTCCTCCTGTTCCCTCTCCTGCCTCCCATCTACCCCTACCCATCCACTCCTCCTCCAGTCTTCATCCAAAAAAGGGAAGACCTCCCAGGGGTTTGAACAAAGCATGTAGCATCAAGTTGAGGCAGGCCCAAGCTTCCCCCCATGTATCAAGGCTATGTCAGGTAATTCAGCATAGCTAACAGGTTCCCAAAAGGCAGCTAAGAGGTAGAGACAGGTCCTTATCTTTCTGCTAAGATCCTTACAAACAGACCAAGCTGCACAACTGTCATATACATGTAGAGGGCCTAGGTCAGTCCTGTACAGGGTTCATAACTGTTGGTCCAGAGTCCATCAGCTCCCAGCAGCTCAGGCCAGCTGTCTCAGTCAGTTCCCCCACCAATGTTTTCTTTATAAGAGTTGCCATGGTCATGGTGTCTCTTCACAGCAATAGTAACCCTAACTAAAAGAATGACCCTCTTACTTCTTCCATTGTATTGTGCTTAGATTAGTCTTAGCTAGAACAACAAAAACGATAAAAAACAGTACAGAGATAAAAATGGGAAATGATTTCAATCTATACCTATTTGCAGATAACATAATCATATACTTAAAAGACCCTATAAAGTCATTTTAATGAAGTTGCAAGGTACAAAATCAATATATAAAAACCAGTATCTTTTATTTATACCAACAGTGAATTTGCAGAAAATGATATTAAGACAATATGTCATTCATAATAGCTTCAAAAAATAAATTACCTAGGAGTAATCCTAGCCAAGGAGATGAAGGAAGACACTAAGCAGTGGACTGACCTCCCATGCCCCTGACTGGAATAATGAGTATCGTGACCATGGCTATACTACCAAACTTAATCTACAGATTCAATGTAACTCCTACACAAATTCCAGTGTCATTCATTAAAAATTAGAAAAAGCAATCCAAGAATTCATATCTACAAATGATCAGATTTAGCCAAAGAAATCCTAAGGAGAAAATATCTAATTGGGTGCACCAAAAATATTTGACTTCAAATTACAATGCTGAATTACAAAAAGACAGGTAGACAAGTGGAAGAGACTAGAGGACCTGATATAACAAGCAAAGCTGTGGCCCCAGAATAATGTCGAAAACATATAGAAAGAAGACAGCTTATTCAAGAGATTGTGCTGGCAAAACTGGATATTCACAGGCAGAAGGATGAAATTTGATTCAAAATTGTTACCCTATACCAAAACATCTTAAAGCACATCAAAGACTTCAACTTAAAATCTGAAATACTAAAACTTCTATAGGGGCCGGGTGTTGGTGGTGCACGCCTTTAATATCAGCACTCGGGAGGCAGAGGCAGGCAGATCTCTGTGAGTTCGAGACCAGCCTGATCTACAAGAGCTAGTTCCAGGACAGCCTCCAAAGCCACAGAGAAACCCTGTCTCAAAACACCAAAAAAAAAAAAAAAATTAAAAAAAAAACTTCTTTAGGAAAACATTGAAATACAGATACAGGCAAGAACTTTCAGAACATATCTGGTCCAGGGGACCAGCCCCAAGAATCACTAAACAGTACTGCATGAAATTAAAAGGCTTCTACAAGGCAATGAAACTATAAACAGAGTCAACAGCCTACACAATGGAAGACAATCCTTACAAGCTATGTCTATGACGAGGGCTAATATTACAAATTTACAAAGAATTACAAAGATTAAACATCAGTGAAAAGAAATTGCCAATTAAAAATGGATAATGGAATAATCAGGCAGTTATCACAAGAAAAACAAATGTTAATAATATTTTTTAAAATACCTAATTGATTATCACAGAAGTGCAAGCTGAAACTATTCTGAGATACCAGCCATATTGCAATCAAAGAAATCAGACAACAGATAATAGGATGTTGAGAAAGAGAAACCCTTATTATGGCTGGTGAAAATGCAAACTAGTACAGATAATATAAAATCAGTAGAGAGGTTTAACAAAAATAAAATAAACAAAAACAGAATGAATATAAAACTCAATTATACGTGCTTTGGGCATATACCCAAGGGATTCCATACCCTATGACAGAGATACTTCCTCATCCATGTTTACTGATACTCTATTTGGGATATCAAAGAAATGCAACCAGCCTAGATGAGATTATGGTACATAATCAGAATGAAATTTACTCAGTTGTAAAGAAAATGAAATTTGCAGGGAAATCAATCTGAAATGCATTGTATTATATGAGTTGATTCAAAATCAGAAAGATAAGAACCATATGTTCTTCATAAATGGATTCTAACCTGTAAAGTATATACGTGTATGTGTTTTTACACACACACACACACACACACACACACACACACACACACACTTAGTTATAGTCTTAAAATCAAAAAAGGACATCAAGAGAGGGAAAATTACTTGATGAAGAAGGGTGAGGTAGGCAAATACACACACACAGCATGAAGGAGGTGAAGAGAGATGATTGGGTAAAAGTAGGATCACGTGTTGCAGAGAATGGAAGAGAGATGGGGGAAGGAAATCTATCAAAAGTATTCATTTTTAATTCCATAGTGAGACTGATCTAATATCTTGCATTATAACTTTGAATAAAAATGTTTTAAAGGTATAAATAAAAGTAAATAATGCTACCAAGAAAAAATAGAACCCACCTCCCCTCCCCATAGTAACCTAACAACATGTGGGATTGTTAAAGAACTTACTTCCCAAGGGCGAAACATTCCAACTTCACAGTTGAACCTTTAGCTGCTGGAAGAGTCTCGGGAAACTGGACTTCTATTTTAGGTTCATATTCACCCATGACACCTGTGAATTCACAATACAATATTGGAAGTGTTAGTGTTTCCTATGGCATCATTTTGTGTTTGTTAATAAAAATTTATTTGGCTCCCCTTTGAGCCTACTACTACTTTTAGTGATTGAAATGGTTCACTGGTACTAACCTTGGTCAAACATGCAAGGAATAACATTTTAGAACTCTGGATTCAAGGAGTCAAAAATACTGCAACATGCAATATATTTTAAAGAACATCGTTGAAATGCTATATTCAATGTGAACATACCTATTTAAGTTTATATCTGCAATATATTAATAATCTCTGAAATTTCCTATTTTACAAAGATTATAGGAAGGAATTTGCTAAATGGTAGCCTCATCACATACATGTCAATCTGAAATATATTGAATGGCTCCCTGGAATCAAAACATGGTGATTTAACATGTGGGAGTGTTCTGATTCCATTATTCCTGACTGAAAAGTGCTTCCATATTCGTTTGCAAGGCATTATGCTGTATGAGATATGATTTAGTTTAATAAGTCAGCTGCCCAGGCTTATAAATTGGCACCCCCTCTTTTTCCTCTTCAAAATCCCATGTAGTCCATGCTGGTCTTAAACTCACTGTGAGGCCAAAAATGACTTTGAACTTCTGAAACTGTTATTGTTCTGTCTCCAGCTGTGCAATTATAGGCATGTACCACCATATCCATTTTGTGCAGTTCTGAGGATCAAACCCAGGGCTGTGTACATGTTAGGCAATTATTCTTTGGGCGAGCTTTAGCTCCAGCTCCTAAATTGGCTTTCTCCTGAATCTTAGATACACTTTCAGCAGTGATTAAGGAGATAATGCCACAGAATTTTTCTTTTATGATTTTATTTTAGTGAGACTTTTTATCTTATCACAGAACACTCCAAACTTTAAATAGTTTCAAGCTGATCAAAATGAAAACAAGTGACTTCATGGGCATTCCATTTTAGGTCTCTTACCATCAGAGCGTAGCACCAAAGGGGTTGGGGAGCCCAATACTCTGGCGTTTGTCACAGTGCTAGTCACCACACATGTGTAATTTCCCACATCAGATGATTCCACCTTAGCTATGTAGAGGTGCCCTGTCTCTTGAGAGACAAATCTCCGACTGTCTTCTTCAACAAATGATGGATACTCGTTGAAGACCCAAGCATATGATAGTTCTAACAAAGTTAAGAAGAAATACATTTCATTACTTAGCAAAGTGTGCCAGACTCAGTTAGAGTACAAAAGTGATGTATTTCTTGAAGTCATGTAGGAGAGCACTTAGGGAAATGATTCAGCATTCATTTTATATTATGATGGAGAACACTGCTGATTGGCTGATTGGCATTCTAGTGTACATAGCATCTTTGCTTTCTTCCTTGTCCCTGTTCTGGGTTATGCTTTTATATACCTGGCTGGCTTTGTTCTTGCTCCCCTTTAATTTGTGTCTCTATAATTCTATATGTCTACACTAGCAATCATATAATAGCAATTCCTAGCATCAAACTTATCACAGCTCCTTAGCTTCTTATGAGTTAACACAGAATGATGCAATCTCAACATTATGTCCCTCCCACAAACTTCCAGGCTCCAGGTTTCTCTGGCTCCTGGGTCTTTGTTTATGCTGCTCTGGAGCCTACAAAGACTTTTGTCTTGCTTGCTTTTTTCTTCCTCCCTCCATCCCTCTGTCCCTCTTTATTTCTCTCTCTTTCTTTAAATCTTTCTTAAAAGACACAATAGACCCTGATGACCCTCACACTCCCTGGGGAGCAGAAAGGTTATATAATAGGTAGGGTTTTAGTTGGGGGTGGTAGGAGTAGAGGGGAGGGAGAGGGAACTGGGATTGTCATGTAAAACAATCTTGTTTCTAATTCAAATAAAAAACAAAACAAAACAAAACAAAAAATCTTTCTTTACTTATTTCTTTCTCTCTTTCTTTCTATTTTTGGGGGTGAATAGTCATATATTCATCATGTGTACTATTGATCTCTCTATAAAGACTTTTTATACAAGTAAATAATATAATTTGACCATGTTCTCACATGTGCCAATCCTATACTTTTGCTCCTCCCCCTTTCCTGATGAGTTTCATTTCTATTTTCTTGTCATATACACATAGTGGTTTATGTATCTATGTGAAATCTAGGATCTACAAATGTAAGAGACTCTATATACTGTTTGTGGGAATGTGACTTAGTGTAGTCACCATGGACTGGACCCTCAGAAAATTAAAAAAGATTTACCCCTGAAGACCACCTATGGAAGGCTTCACCCTCCCTGGGGAGCAGAAAGGTTATGCGATAGTTAGGGTTTTAGTTGGGTAGTGGTAGGGGTATATGGGAGCGAGTGGGAACTGGGTTTGACATGTAAAACAATCTTGTTTCTAATTCAAATAAAAAAATGAAAAATATTTGCCATATGATCTATATATACCACATTAGGTCTTTACAAGGAAACCACTAGGTAAACATTAGAGAGGAATTTTTGTATGTTGATGTTTTCAAAAGCATTATTTATAACAACTAAGTTTTGGTCTCTTTCTATAGATGTATTAATGAAGAAAATATGAACAAAATGGAACTTTTTCAGTTATAAAGAAGAATGAAATTTGGCCATTTTCAGTAACATAGATGGCTCTTTCTTTTGTTTCCTCTTCTTGAAGCATCAAACCTCATTCAGCTGACATAATATCAAGAGGCTCATACAATAATATCAGTCACCTCCAAAGAACAATATCTAAGCTTCAGTCCATGTTCAAGAGTGACTCCAAAGAATTTATTTTAGTTTTAATTTTGTGTGTGTGTGTGTGTGTGTGTGTGTGTGTGTGTGTGTGTGTGTGTGTGCGTGTGTGTATGTGTGTTTGTGTGTGTGTGTTTACACGTACCTTCAGAGGCCAAAATAGGTCACAAGACCCACTGAACTGGAGTTAAAGTTAGTTGTGAGCTGATAGACATAGATGAAGGGAACAGGAGTCCAGTCCTTTGAAAGAGTAGTGTGTGCTCTTAATTGCTAGGCCACCATTCAACCCCCTAGGGAAACTCTGAAGTTTATTCTAAAGTAAACATTCTTTGATGCAAGATGTAATAAATACCTCCTCAATTGTCCCTTTGATAATAACAAAATGATGTCAATTATTCATTTTCATCTGTGGTGCTGGGAATCAAACCCAGGACCTGGCACATACTTCCAAGTTCTCTACCATGAGTCGTATCCTCAACCTTGATCTCAGTTTTAAGCCAACTGCTCCTATTTCTACTTGGCAGCTAAAACATTTAATGCATTTAACAGGTCCAAAGTAAGCATTTGTTGAGTCAAAGGATATATTATGCTATAAGCTATGAGAAAAAAGTCTACTAGGAATATCGTTACCAACTGTGAGGCAGTGAAAACAACTGTTTATTAAGGAAGTATGCTCTCTTCTACAAGAATGACATCTAAACAGTATTAGGCTTCTGGGCTTTAGATCCTCAAAGAATAGAGAGCTAAGTGTTATAAGGCATAGTTTCTGTTTTTTTTTCTACTGGCTTTCTTCTTCCTTGGCTCTGTTTTCTTTTGCAATTACACTAACCTTACTTCCCTGGTTAATTTCTGTAAAAGTCTTCTAAAAGATTTTTTTGAAAACATGTGCTATCAATACAAATTTAATGAGGTCCAAGTAAAAATAGATTTGAAGCACAATTATAATTGTGAAGTATCTTTTCTTTTGGGAAAGAATGGACAATTACCTGCTATAAAGCACAGTGACATGATGTGCCAAGTTTGGTTGGGAGATGCTATGAGTTTCAGGGGAAAGGGGTGTGAATTTCTTTCATGACTGAAGAATAGACATAAGTATCAAGAGAATACTAAAACACACAAGGATGAAAGCCCTCCAGGGAGAGCACTAAACATATAAAAGAGCAGCAGAGTAAGAACACCTGAAGAGCTTGGCAGTAACAGTCCATGGTGAGGCCAGTAACAAGGTTCTATTTTAACTTTGGAAATACACTGAGCATGGTGCATTCATAAACACTGATTTCTTTTTCTAAATACTGAAGACTATTTTAGGATGGTCTAAGTCAACAGTGAGATAGGAAATTCCAAAGTTGCTCGTTGAACTTTATGGAAAAAAAAAACCCTCAAACACTATTCCCCTTAGTCTCTTGCCTACCCCCATGCTACTTATTACCCCTATAATTACCCACATAAATCTTAGAGAAAAATAATGCTGAAAATACAGAATAAGCGTCTTTTGCAGTTGGTAAAACTGGCTGCAGCAGCAGCAATGACTCTTTATGGTTCTCCTGTGGATCTCAGCCAACCCTCACCTTTCAGATGTCCCCTCCACCTTATTTTTGTTTAATGCAGACAACACATTCTTTCTCTGTTTATTAAACTGCTCAAGACACTGGGTTAATACAGGAGGCTTCTATTTATTATCTAGACAGATTAAAACTTTGTCTCTAGTATAGGATTTGGGCAGATTATCTAGAATAGGGATAATTTGAAGAAAGAATTTAGTGTAAGGGTCAGAAAACCTAACATACAGTAAATTTGTGCAAGCAAGTATTTTAACATGAATCTGTATCAACAATAGGTATATGTAATGTCTTGGAAAAATATCACAAGTGTAACTTTAAAATTCATTGAAAAATAATCTGTATTACATGACTCCACTTACTGTTTTTCTTCTCATCATATAAATACTAGCACTTAAAACAATACAGTATTTTAATATCATTGGGAATATGATGTTTTTGTCTCTGTCATAGTAACTACGTATCTAGGGAAAAAGATAAAGAAAGAAAAATCAAACATGTCTGTGTGTACCTCTGGGGTACTCTGGTAGGCATAGAGGCTCCACTCAGATCCCACTGAAGAGAACCTGTTGCAGAGAAGATAGATAAATGTCTTCTACTTGCATACTAGAGGCAGCTGCTGTGGCCACATCATTCTCACTACCTGAACTCATTGAGACTGCTAATGCTCCATGTAGGGTTTTCCTAATGGGCAACTGTGTTTGGAACAATGCATAGAGAAATGCTCAAAATATTTGCAGATCTTTACTGCAGTTTGACTCTTCTCTTTGTCCACAGATATGTGAACTGATTCTCAGTCTGTTCTTCTTCCCAACTCTAATCCCTCTCCTTTATGCTGTTACAGGTCCTCTTTTGTAATCCTTTTCAAATCTGATTCCTTAATCTTATTCAGTATTTCCTTCCTGGAAACCTGAACTGACTTGATTGCTGATATTGAACAACAGACTTTTCTGTATTTAAAACTGCCCTTCCCTTTGATCTGGAGGGAGAGTCTATTCAGGATCATACACTTCCTTTCCCAGGGATAATTGCTCTTCTCTTTATTAACCCTCACTCACTTCTAGGTTTCTCATATATGTTGGCATTTGTCCTATAGACTAGTAAAGCTCTTCAGTACTCCTGTGTGAAACATTATAAGACTCTCTGCCTCTGACAATTACACAGGGGGAAAAAAAGGTGAAACTGGTTTACTTTTAATGCAAATCTTAACTCTATGAGGTAAATTAATGAGTAGAAGGTAGAAAAGCCACATGATCTAAAGGACAAATGGCAAGAAACTGCTGTGTGCAGCAGTGAGGACTCACACTCTCCCTTCAGGAGTTAGTGTCATCAGGCAGGCACAGGATTCTATCACAGCCTCTAAATTACAGAGATGAACTCCAGCCTCAAACGTCAACCAGTCCTAATTTATATACAATCTTCATTAAACAACACATCATAAATATCTTTACAGTGTAAAAGGCAATGTTGAAGTTTCCTAAGCACTCCCTTTCTCTAAATATTCCAACAGTAGAGCTTCTATAATGCTGTTAGGTATGGAAGTGAATAATAAAACAGAGATCCACTCTAGTACAGCCACAAAATTCCAGAGAATAATGATTCTTGATCACAAAAATGAAAACAAGGATAAGAAACAGAAGTATGGAGAGGAGGCCTTGTATCTGGAAGAAGAAATACTTGAAATAGACTTTTAGATGCAAATACAGGGCTTTCTAATATCTAAATCAAAGCTCAAGACTTTTGGTGAATATTTGTGGATTATGCAGAATAACAGACCCTAGTACTCCACACCCAGCCCTGCAAATCTAGGGATATGTCATTAGACATAGAAGAAGGACTCTGCAGATGGAGGTAACACAGGGCATTGAGATGGAAAGGTT